GGGTGGGAGGGGCACGAAACCATGTAAATAGTATGGTATTCCGATACCCTCCTCGCTCAGGCGGGGCCTCCCTGGAGGGGTGGGAGGGGCACGAAACCATGTAAATAGTATGGTATTCCGATACCCTCCTCGCTCAGGCGGGGCCTCCCTGGAGGGGTGGGAGGGGCACGAAACCATGTAAATAGTATGGTATTCCGATACCCTCCTCGCTCAGGCGGGGCCTCCCTGCAGGGGTGGGAGGGGCACGAAACCATGTAAATAGTATGGTATTCCGATACCCTCCTCGCTCAGGCGGGGCCTCCCTGGAGGGGTGGGAGGGGCACGAAACCATGTAAATAGTATGGTATTCCGATACCCTCCTCGCTCAGGCGGGGCCTCCCTGGAGGGGTGGGAGGGGCACGAAACCATGTAAATAGTATGGTATTCCGATACCCTCCTCGCTCAGGCGGGGCCTCCCTGGAGGGGTGGGAGGGGCACGAAACCATGTAAATAGTATGGTATTCCGATACCCTCCTCGCTCAGGCGGGGCCTCCCTGCAGGGGTGGGAGGGGCACGAAACCATGTAAATAGTATGGTTTCGGATACCCTCCTCGCTCAGGCGGGGCCTCCCTGGAGAGGTGGGAAGGGGCACGAAACCATGTAAATAGTATGGTATTCCGATACCCTCCTCGCTCAGGCGGTGCCTCCCTGGAGGGGTGGGAGGGGCACGAAACCATGTAAATAGTATGGTTTTCCGATACCCTCCTCGTATGGTATGGTACGGTATGGTATGATATGGTATGGTATGGTACTGGAGGTATGGTATGGTATGGTACGGTGTGGCATTGGTGTGATATGGTATGGTATGCTATGGTACGCCATGGTATGGTATGGTACGGTATGGTACGTATGGTGTGGTATGGTATGGTATGGTATGGTATGGTATGTGTGGTAGGAACTATGGTATGGTATGGTGCGTGGTAGGAATAATATTGTGCTGTATGGAAGATGCAGCGGGAGGTGGGTGGGAAGGAGAGGGTGTTCTGGGAAAACAAGAACCCCACTCAGGATGTGGGGAACAAAACAGCCCCAGCCAGAAATGCTCTAAAAACATTTCGTGGGAACCACAACAAGTTCTTTAAACATTGTTTGGTGGGGCTATAGGCGAGCCAGGACGCTTCGCCACTGCTTGACTGGCCCTGGCCCCGGCCCCAATGCTGGCCCCGACCCCTCCCCCGGCCCGGGTCCCCGCCCTGGCCCCGGCCCTGGCCCATAGGCACTGGCCCCCGGCCCCGGCCCCGGCCCCAGCCCCGGCCCGAGCCAGCAGGCCCCAGCCCCATGGGCCCGGGCCTCGGCCCTGGCTCCAGCCCCGGCACCCCCTGCCCCTGCCGGGCCCCGAGGAGGCATCGGTGTGGCTCTCCTCCTCCCTTCCTTGTCCTTATAGATCTAACTCTCCTCCCTGTCGTGCCCTTTGGGCCGATCGCATGGGCGGCCCGGGCGTTCCGCTCGAGGCCCCCTCACCAGTTGTGACCCGGATGCCCAAAAGCTGACAACGGGCTCACAGATTGAGGGCGGATGGTTTTCAAAATGTCGCTCTCGCCTTAGCGCCGCGCGCATTCGTTGAACACAGATTGCAAGAATGTTGCGGATTGAAGGCGGGTGGTTTTCAAAATGTGATTCTCGCCTGAGCGCCGCACACATTCGTGTAAATTATTTAGGTTCGAGCGATCCCCACCGAAACCCTAAGCGTTTGTTCCCGACGGCGCGCGGTCGCCTAGTTGGTCGACAGATGCCGTTCTTTATTCAAAAAACGGTTCATCCGTGTTCCAAGTAGTACCTTTCGCCCATGCTCTCGACGGGCCGGCGTGACGTCGTGACGCCAGTGACGTGAGATGCGTCGTCTGTTCGGATGATCAGATTCCTTTATGTGCAGATTCTGTTTGAGTGTGTTATGTTATGCTTATCTCTGACACTACATAATTTGGAATACGGAGGCGTGATATTATATGTCACACGATACGAGGGCATGACATGTATGTCAGGTAATATTATTCAATTGTGTGTTACGTGATGCTGCTGGCAGGTCAGTATGGTATGCTCTGCCCTGCTAGTATGTATCGCTGTGCTTTGCTGCAGTGCTATGATATGTTCAGTGATGCTGCCATAGTCCGATATGATATGTCATGGCGTGTTATGTTATGATAGGCTATGTGATGTTATGTTGTGCTCTGATCTGGTATGTTCTGTGAAATTAGATGTGTTGACGGCTCGGCTCTGTGTAGTACTGTGATATGCTCTGCTAGTATATGTCGCTATGCTCTGCTGTCGTGTTATGATATGTGCTGTGATGGAGTGTCATGATATGATGTGGTATGTCAAAATGTGGTATGTTATGCTCGGCTGTGTGATGTTGACGTGTTCTGCTGTCTTCCGTTATGCCACGATCTGCCATGACATGTTATGTGAGATTACGTGTTTGCCCGTTTTATCATGACATTGCTAGGTTATGGTATGGCATGTT